ATCTATGATGTACCGCTTTATAAATGTTTCATGTGGCTTTACTCTAGGAAGTTTCACCTTGTCAAGTATACTACTAAGTAATTCCAGGTCAAGGACCAAATTTTGTGTGTGTGTGTGTGTGTGTGTGTGTGTGTGTGAGAGAGAGAGAGAGAGAGAGAGAGAGAGAGAGAGATCCAGAAAGGTTTTGTTTGTTGGCAGCTGGCTAGTAGTGGGATCTGAACCCTTCACCTTGGTGTTACCAACACGATGCTCTAACCAACTGAGCTGACTGGCCATCCTTCAGAAAGTTCTCTGTAAAGAGCTCTATACACTTTACTCGGTGTCCTGTTTATCAAGGTCTTGTTAAACACACTGTAAAGCCACTTGTCATACTACTGAGAATCAAAGGTGTAGCAAAATTGGAAGTACAGGCATTGATCAGACTAGTGGTAGCACAAAAATAATTCAATAAGTGGAAAAAAACATAAAACAATTTATTATTAGATACCTAGCATGTTTCTTTTATGTAAGACTGTTCGTAAGTTGTACATGCAAGTGGTACTGGCAAAGGAACAGACACACAGAGTAGTGAAACAGAATAGTGTGCCCAGATATACTCACTTAAATATAGTCAACTGATTTTTTACAAAGGAGCAAAGACCACTCAGTGGAATGAGGATGGTCTTTTCTACAAATGGTGTTAGAACACTTGGACATCCATATTTAAAAAACTGAACCTAAACACAGACCTTAGACCTCATGTATTTCTCAAAAATATAAAAAGACAGCCCTAAAATACTAGTTTACAAAGTGTGGAATGGTGGTAAGAAAAGTTAACTAACTTGAAAGTGTTATATTATTTGGGAAAGGGGTGAAGATATTAAATGAATTTTGCTCATTTGAAATTTATTTTTATAAAGTTATAAAATTTATTGTTTCTAAAAAAAACTTGTACATGAAAAGATACTAAATTGAAATATAGCTTCCTCTATTTTATATGCAATTATAAAAAAAATTAAGGCCAGATTTCCAAAATATTTAAGAAGAGCCATATGACTCTGGAATGCTCTGGGACCAACAATGACCTTATCAATAATTTAATCATTTTTATCCCACTTGGATTTAGCTCATACATATATTCAAAACACACAAAACTACCTGTGCTGTTTTGAGCTTTCTTCATTGAGCTTAAGAACCAAGGACAAAATCACCTCTTTATGGAATATGTTACTAAAAGAAATTATTTCAGTAAGCTTTTGTATTCATAGAAAGGAAAACTTACTCTAAGAAATGAGGTCTTATAAAGAATTCACTCCTACAATTAACATGCTTTTTTATTGCAGTTAAAAATATTTAGTGAGTTTAAGTTACACTTAAGGACAGCATTAAACCTCTCTTTTCTTTTTAAAGATAGCTTCCGTTTAATTGCTTAATACTATTAATCTTGCTTTATGTACGTGA